TGGGGCTAGTGGTAACACAGACACGCCCTCTGCTTGGAATCGCTGGAAAAAATACTCAATTTTCCATTTTTGTAATAGATATGACCACGATTACAAAACTTCCAACATGTAATTTAGTGACTGGGATGGACTGTCTCCCAAACAGACTGAATTTTAAATCCTCCTGGATCCTCCACCTGCAACTTTTTAACATGAACTCTAGAGCACACCTGGTTTAATTCATCATAGTTTGCACTAATTACCCCAAACCCATAGTACAGCTGCCACTATCCAACTCATTCACAAACCTAATTACACCTGCTTAAGGGACTAACCTGAACTATTACACTGAATCATTTTAACAGAATGTGCAAACTCCACAGACATTTTGCCACTTAAACCAGGATTTTGCCTGAATGATGGATRGAGTTCCTTAGTTCCTGTAAATTAACCTTACTGGGCACCAAAGKTCTGTTGACACCCAGGAGCATATCAGTCTCATTAGCATGGATCATAGCAGGAGTCTCTCCCAACAGGCACAGTCCATGATGGAAAACTGAGAATACCTGATATATACATACAGATCTATCTACGCCCAAGGCTACAAACATCCCTCTCTGTTCTCCAAAATTTGAGAGGAAGCATCTCTTTTCCATTCAACAACCCAAGAATATTCATTCACTAAACAATGAGATCCAGAGCAATTTTTTTTTCTGTCTGGGAGAATTRAAATGTGGGTCTCCTACAGGAATAATTTTAATTACTAGTAATTTCAGGTAAGGAAAAGAAGCATGGCCAGCCYAGCCTGCGACAGCTGAACAATTTTGACTGTAACAATAAGAATCTACTACGTCAAAGACTAAGGGAAAAGGACTTTCAGAAAGGAGATATCCTGACTACTAAAATATTTCACCCAGTGGTGGTCCTTGCACAAGCAGTCCCTGACATTAGGTGAGTACCCTGGCCATCAGTCAAAAGCCATCTGCATGTGGCATTCCCTCTAASTGCCAATGAGTATTCATTTCAAGCAGAAGAAACAAGCTCTTTTTTTAGCCAGAAGAGAGCCTTTTACCTATGAGTTAAAGGCAACAAATGTAGGGAAATGAACTCTCTGATGAACAGGAATTGTTCACTAAACGATGTAAACAACATTTGAGTTAATGCGCTGCTGAGCATGGTGAAATTTCTTCTAAGGAGACATAGGAAAAAATCTGGTTTCTTTCAGAATTAGGCAGCAAGTCTTTTTATGAGGATTACAATTTGGATGTAATCATCACATTTTAAACATCAAATTCCTTAGTCAATTTGAATTGCATTTAGATACACTGGGTACCAGAAATGCTATTTTTCCCCCAGACATCATCTACACAAGGAATAAAAACATAAATATTGACAGTATTCTAAAAAATCCAAATTAAAAAAAAAAAAAAAAAAAAAAAAAAAAAAAAAAAAACAAAAAAAAAAACCTGCAGCAGGAAGATGACAATATTCACCAATAAACACAAGGAACAAGTACTAATAAGAAACTGAACCCCCAGATAAACCAAACAACCTGTCAACCTATTTAGAAACATTCAGATTTAAAAATCAACAGAAGGGACACAGCAGTACTGTAAGACTTACAGATTAGATTGCAGTCTTGAGCATTAACCTTTCCTGAAAACAGAGAAACACCCAGAGGCTGTGCATGGACCCTAAAAGTAAAGGACTCTAAAGGTAATGGTGGGAAAGATAAATGGAGCCTGATCAAACACACACTGCAACAGCAGCAACAGAGTAATTCCCTCACACAGTTCAGGGGAAAAACTCACAGAGAAAACAGATTTTGAAAATGAAGCCTGTGAATGGAAGAAAAACAGAGAAAGCCATTTAAGAGTGCAAGGGTCAAGTGATCAGCTATTTTGATTAGGCATTTTTAGTGAGACAAAGATAGAAAGTTTCCCCAACATAACGATTATCTCATGGTGGTAAAGCTGTGAAAGGAGATTGCAGTCTCTGTGTGAGAAAAGAAATAGGAACAGCTGACTTGGTGTATCAAGACATCCTCCTTCAGTTTGAAACAGCATCCTCAAAGATCCAGGCTGCTGYTACCAGGCAAAGTGACAGGCCAGTGGGCTTACCTAGAGCAGTCCAGTATTTTTCATAATTAAACTCAGTAAACCCAGATTTTCACAACAGATTTCATAGAATAATAAAAAATCAGGGTTCATTAACAAAAAGGAAGACATTTTGAAAGGATTTTTCCATGTGCTCAAGGTTTAGCACTGGAACTTGAAGTGTTCCATTAATGCAATACTGTTTGTGCTAAAGGCAAATAATAARTAAACCCATACCACAATTACCTTTTTGAAAAGAAAAAAAAAAGGAAACTTTTCTAAGCAAAAGTTTCTAGCATTTGTAATCTGATGCTTTCAAGAAGGTCCTCGTTACAGCAAATGGTCTCTCTCACTTGCTCTTGAACATATCACAAATCTATCATGCCTCCCTCTTAAGAATGCTATGAATGCACATTATAAATAGGTCCAGATATGTGGCAATAAATTACCTTTATTTTTACTATAGCAAATGATTTAACTGAAATAATAGATAAAAAGATTAAAATTGCCTTGATCATAAAGCTCACAAAGCCTATTAAGAGAYAGTGGATCTGAGTGCCTGTTTGGAGTTCCTTCCCCTCTCCTTAACTTCCAGTGTTCAACAATAAACATGCAAAAAGAYACATGTAAATGGTACTTTAGATTGAAAGTAAGAGATAGCTTGGATAATGGATGTATCTATACAAGTCTTCCCAGTGCTGGAAGTTAGGACTGTCTCTTTTGTCTTCTTTCTCTCAGGGAATTTTCTCCCATCTCTASCTAGGAGACAATAACGACCGATACTTAGGAGACAAAATGTGTAARGCACGGAGGAGAGGAAGTAGTGTAGTAGGAGAGTAGCTACTCTCTCATCTGAGGGATTTTCTCTTGGGAAGGGCAGAGATACCGTGAGATTTTGGACTGGGGGAAGCAGCTGGGTGCAGCTCCTAGCGCGCTCTCCTCTCAGTATCGGAGGCGGATGGTCAAGGTGTGGGGAGAATTTACCGCCACCGCTGGAGCCCAGCCCTGTACTGCTCCTTCTTTTGCTCATAAGAGCAGCCGTTCAAATGGGACCGTATCAACACCCCACTCAGTGGAAAAGGACCATCTACTCGGGTGCCTCAGTGGAAAAGGACCATCTACTCGGGTGCCTCAGGGGAAACCCCGGGACCCCAGCCCCTCAGCCTTCCCAGAGGGTGCCTCACTCGGCTGCGTGTGGCAGCTGCTGTGGAGAAGCCCGACTGCCCCCGTCCCGGGCTTTTTGGCTACATTCTAACCCAGCACGCAGTGTCCACCCGCCTGCCGCTACAGCTGCGGAGTTTCTGCTACCTTTCGCTGGCTACCCCGGCAGAGCCAGCCCCTGCCTTTCCAGCCGCTGCTCCGCGGGTACCGCTGAAGCTCGCTCCGCTRTCCCGAAGGGCACCGGGACCGACTGTCCCCCGTGGGTTTGCGGAGGAAGCCCCTTTGCCATCTCTTCGCCGGCGGCGCCCGCCATCGCCGCGTGAGGCAGACRCGGCTGAGCTCTCGCCACAGCGCCCCCTGGCGGCGCGGGGGAATCACCGCCCCCGCCCTGCCCGGCCGGGAGCCCCCAGCGCCCCCTGCCGGCCATGACCGTACAGGCCGTGACCTGTACCGGTTCTGACCGCACCGGCTGTCACGGGGTTTCTGCTTTTTCTTGCCTGTTGCTGCCCTTGCTGTTGTTTGTTTGTCTTGTTATATATATTAGTAATGAACTGTTATTCCTTTTTTGGAGGGAAGGGAGGTCAYATTTTCCATTCCAAGGGAGGTTCCCACCTTCCTTGGCAGACACCTGTCTTTCAAACAMAGAYACCCAGCTTTTATGGAATATTTGATTCTCTAAGAAGAGTAAGTCATTGTGAACAAGATGTTAAATCAACAATTTTTAATTATACTTCAAGGTTAAAAAAAAAATTAGATCATAAAATTTTATAAAATATTAAAAAATAGAGGTATCCATCATCYCAGAAGCAAAATCTGATAAAGAGTGGGATACAGGTCACCGGGATATTCCTAACAATAATGACCTATACTTTATAAAGTTATTCAGTTATTTTCTGCACAAATCAATTGCTTGTTTCAGAAATTATTTGAAAGCATTGCATTTAGTCTTTTTCCCTAGCGTCACAACACAACAATGACACACAAAGGGCAATTTACACATCAGTGTGCAATAAATAATTCTCAAAGGCCTACAACCAGTCTGTCGTGTTCTACTACGTTTAGGAAACTAGGAAGATAGTGTAGCTCCAGCCATTTTCTTTTTGGACAATCTCATTTTTTCACTCTCTTATGTTTGATGCCATGAGCCAAAAATCATCCTTCCTGATGCTGCTACATGCATTGGTTTATTGCAGTGGATAATAACAAAACAGTATTTACTTAGAAAGGTTGATTGAAATATTTCCTGAATTGCAAATCCTTGAGTTTTCTAGYACAGATAAGGGTTTTATTTTACTGGAAGACTGTATCTGGTATGACTGATTATAAATTGTTTTTGAGTCAAAAGGGATTAATCTAAAAGTGYTAAGATAAAACAGGAGAGAAGAAAGTATGATTATGATAGTAAATTGTGCAGAACATTTAAAAGTAAGATATCATGCGTAACCTTCTCTGCCATTTTKACYACTACAGTCAGGGAACTTTAAGGGTGGGCCAGAAATCAGGAAATTCAGCATATTACTCACCATCAAGGAATGAAAAAAGGGTATATTTYATTCTCTTATTATTTTTACTACATCTTCTTTTCCCCTCTGAAAATCTGAAGGTTTTCACATCTTTGCTACTGGCATTTACATGCCAGTAATAAAACCATTATCAGTGGGGATGTATGAAATWTATTTGGAACATTTAAATTCTGAGTAACCCAAATGCAAAACAACCATGTGCAGTAAATAAGTCTTGATGTATTGAATAGAATTCTCTTACCTTTTGTTGGACTCTGGTTCTGATCTATAAATCCCTTCAAGTCTCCATTTGTGGAAGTCACACCAACCTGAACAAAACATTTTTGAAGTCTTAAAATATGATAAACCTTTCTAACATGCAACTAACAATACTATGAAARCAACTTTCTGCATTATGAAACATCMTAATCCTAAGGACAGTAGAGGCTAACAAGAGCATGAGACTCAAGGCAAGGGATCCAGGACATTTCCTGCGTATATGTGACTTCTGCTAAAGAATTTGTTTTCAGCAAGTAATTTTTGTAGGGGAAAATCTGCACACAGTATTGCAACAGACTCTTGAAAACATTTCTGTTAAGATTTTTTCGCCATCAGGAGATGTATAAGATCAACCACTTCTGCAGTACTTTGATTGTAAAACACTGCCCAAATGAGCTCAGTTACGTGCTTCTGTAAACAAGCTCTTAGTGATGCTCACACAGTTCCTCAGTTTATCTCAAGCATTGTCAGTGCAGGACTTGCTCTTTCCTGCCTTTCCTGGCACACCCAGCTGTGTCCTACACTCTCAGATGCCTGGGCCGAGGCTGTTCCGAGATGTCCCATTTTCCCTGCCCATCCCTGGGCTCTCTCCCAGCAGGTGGCAGCGGTGCAGCAGCGATAAAGCGGGGCTGGGTRGGGCCTGAGCAGGAACGCCCCGATGGGAGAAAGGCAAAGGGAGGAAGACATGAAAACAAACACAAARCGTCTCCTATCACCACTTGCTACCAGATCAATAAGGAGAACAGCAATATTCTAGGGTTTTTCCCCCTGGGTGATTGGCAGGAGGAACGCCAACCAGGGTGGTAAGAGGCCACCATGGTTCCTTAYACTGCAAATGCATTCTTGAGGAGAWGTTTAACCCAGAGGTTGGCAAGGTTGGTAATTGCACAGTGTAAAGCACTGAAAGGCCCAGTCAAAGGGCAGAGGCAGCACTGCTGGATCACACCACTGCTACCCTCACAAAAACAACAGCATCAGCTTTTCCCCAGGACCCCGCCTGCCTCTGCTGCAAGTAGAACACCACAAATGGGAGAAATTTTAAATTCAGAGAAAGAACAGCGGTCCACAGGGMTAAATATAATGTTAGATTATGGGCCTCAACCCATTCCAAGAGAAGGGATAAGAGTTACAAGGAACATCTTCAAAACAGCACTGAAATTTGTTCACAATTGAATGTTYAGCTCTAGATTCACACATGTACATTTCCCTATTGATTCAGATCAGTGTTTTAATCAAAAACTGAAGATAATATACAAATGCAGCATCAGAATGAAAATTCTAACTTTACATTTAAGTCTCTGAAAGATTTAGAAGGAAATGCAACAAAGTACTTGAGGGTTTTTTTTTGTGTGTTATGTTGTACTTCAGTGATCCAAATGACACAAAATTACAGAATTTGTTTGCACAAAATACATTGTTTTATTACAATGGTCCTAGCAGCACATTCATGAAGAGCAACACTTTTCTCAACTTTAAAATCTTTGTATCTAAGTTTAGAAAAGCTTAAAAACTTGAATTTCATGAGAAATGTGGCAGATCTAAAGGAATGTGTTTACCTTGCAGAARAATGATCATTACTAAGCCCTCAGAAGAATCAATGTGTGATGCAACATTATGATACAGCAGCCCAAGACCTTTACAGAATTTCGTCTCAGTTTTCCAGAGGTCCCAGGCCACGTTGTTATCTGAGACAGAYCACACACTGCTTTTGGGAGTCTTGTACTGCAACAAGTCCTAAGCTGAAACCAGCAAAGAATCCAATGCTTAACTGGTGTGATYTGCTACTTTTTGTACCGCTCATGTGATATTTCTGCTTTATAACACTGGCCAAGAGTGTCTGGATYACTAGATACGTCAGGAGCTGGACTCCTGCTTCTGCCCATGTGCAGCATGAAGAATCCAGCCATGAAGGAAGATGAGGAAAGGACTTGGCATACCTTTGAGTACTATTAATTATCTCTGAGGTTTGTTTGCCTTTCCTATTAGGTGACAAAGTCACCAAACAGAGTGAGGGGAAAGAAAAAAAAAAAACCAAACAGTCACAACCAGAGGCTTGGATGGGGTCAACTGCCATGAGCAGCTCTCGTAGCTTGCCAGCCTCTCTACTGCTTGGCCAGGCAAATCTCTGATCAACTTCTGCAGTTAAACTTTCTTCCATGCTGACATGTTAAAGAAGAACTATTGCAGCAATTTAACTGCCCTTAGCTATGGCAAGACAGCCACCCTCTGAGAAGCAGTGACAACTTCACGAACAATCAAAACTAACAATCTTATTCAAAAAAATATGCTTAAATCATATTACTCATTTGTTTGAGTACTAAAACTAAAGTTTTGTTTGAGTAAACTAAACTAAAAGTAAGTTTACTATGAGCATTTGACAATTTTTTTTCTCAATTTGTTAATACTGTTTTGGTGTCTTTTTACCTGAAGGACGGATGGGAAAGGAGATACAAAACAGGCAAGAAAAACATATTTTAATCAYATAAGCAAAGAATTACATAACCCAATTGGACAGGGTGCTTTGAATTACATTTGGGCACAGTATATWTGGTAAGCACATAAATATCTAACTTTTAATCAACATTTTATTATTCATAGTTTCTTYGGTTGGATTAGTTTTCTAAGGAAGGTCAAATTACCCATAAACAATACTCCACAAGCAGATACCATAAAGTGTCCTGCATTTAAAGAAAATGAAGTAAACCCAGCCTGGATAATTTTCGCACCACATGCTCCAAAAGTTAGGAAGGAAAAACAGCGATGGGGGACGTTATTCACCTTGCACACACATTCTGGTAGGTGCATGAAGCACAAGCTTTCATGGAGAGAAGGTAGTTCAACACAGCTTCTTGCAAAATGAAAAGCCATTTCAGCCACAGCTCACTGCTCTTGGCTGTGATGCAGCAGGAGCACAGACATGCCCAGATGAGGGGCAGTGATTTCAGAACGCAGAGGTGGCTGCTTCCCTGTGCACAAAGGTTTGACAGAAGATATGTGCCCTTCAAGAGTTGCCTAGAAGATGCCCAGATTCKAGTACTTTAAAGTTTCCTTTCCTTGATGCTTCAACAGAAAGGAAAAAAAAGATGGCAATACTCTCACAGAGAAGCTCTCTCCCTCAGCTCACTCTGAAGATCACCAAACCATTTCTGACATTGTTAAGAACAGTAACCTTACATTTGAAAAATGATTTTGAGCTGCAGAAACTCACAGACATACTCAGAAGCTTATCCCTGYATTCTGTAAATTCAGAAGAATTATGGCCTTCTAACTGCTCACAAAAACCAGGGCTAACCCTATTGCCCTGAGTGTGCAATTCTGAGTAACCAAGAAACCAAGTAACCCAAAGAAGTGCYACCAATAAGGACAGAAAATATATGATCACCCCATGAATAGGTAAACATGAAAACTGAGTCTTATATTCATCTGCACTGCAGTAGCTGATTTTTTTTTAAATAAACCCATTAATATTAGGTTCCTGACTAGGCTTGCATGAGTTTGATATGCGAAAGTTTGAAGCATGCATACCAATTAAATATTTCTTCTATCAAGTAACCATAGCATTGTGCTGAAGTAAACAACAAAATCATATTTCTATATTCAGCACAAGAGTAGGTTGGCCAGACTGAATGTCACATCTGTCCTTGGATATTTTCAAAACCCAAAGCTCTAATGGAGCCCTGAAAAAATTGCCAAGCAACTGGTGCAGGATGCCCAGTGTCAAAGAGCTTTACACAAAGCACCAGAGTAGATGGCCTCCTGAAATCCCTTCCAAGCCATGCCACTCTGACTATTACACAACACTCCATGGATTTTATTGGGATTGATATTTATCCTTTGACTGCATCGAACAAAAGGTCAAAGCCACAAATGACCTGGATTTGTGCAGCTGTCCCACATACATCAGTAGCATTACTGATTTATACTAGAGTTGAATACGACCTATGAAATAATAAGCAAAGGACTTTGAATATACACATCAATTTATTTTGTGTCTTAGTAAGCTTGAATCAAAAAGTGAGATATAAGACACCTCAACACCTGGAGCTACACACCAAATGAAGCTATTAAAAAGCCAACAGAAGGACCCAGAATTTGAGAATTAATTTAACCAAACTATGCCTTTGGCACCAATCTAACCCAATATGCACAAAAGCTTTTGCAGTTCCTGAACAGAGCACCATCCTAGACTACCTGCACTYCTATCGTGGTGCACTTCAGTGGTGTTGGTTCGTAAACCTGCTCAGATTTTTAACTGGACTGAAGGTTCCCCTGTCAAAGGCAATCAACAGGCAAATTGCCCAGGGCCCAAAGTCRTACTCAATTCACTGATCACCAAGCTTAATCAGAACTGTTCTCTATACAAACTGTGTACCTCAGGAAGCACTGCTAATAAGCCAGAAAATTAAGGTCAGGACGTTAAGACATTTCATAAGCTTCCTCAGAACTCGGGATAGAGGAGTCAAATATAGAGCCTTGAGACACYGCTACAGGCTTGTTAATGAGCAAGCAAAGAAACAAGAAAGCATTCATTCTTCTAGAAACCAAAAGTGTGCCAACATTAGCAAAGAAGTATGCAGTCTTTCTATTATTTCTTGAGATTTGAGACTCAGATGTAGTAGAAGGGTTTTACAGCAGTGCAAAGGTGAAATGATTCAACAAAATGAACAGCTTTCAGGTAAGTTTGGAGCAATGTTAGATGAACCACAGACTCACAGAATATCTCACGTTGGAAGGGACCTGAAAGGATCAATTTAAAAACAGCATAAAACATTGCCTCAGTTACCAATCTGATCCACAGCTGAGTAAACTCCACATCCTTAAAGAGCTTCAAACCAGTTTAAATTTATCAAAATACTGCAGAAGATGATGGGGTACACATTCATGGTATACGAAAATCAGACAAGATTCTTGAATTTGACGGTCTTTGTGCTTGATTTCTTGTATTTGTCCATACAATTCTGAAAGCAAGAAGTGACTGGCAGAATCCCAGCATGAAAAGTAACAAATGTTGAAGAGTTATACTTACATTTTTTGCCGTCATGTCAGACAGTATTGCTTTATACTTCATAAAGCCATAAGATATMCCTTTTCATCTTCACAGAATCTTTAAAATGAACATTCTGTAAGAAAGTTAATGAAATACCTTAGTTGAAACCCAAGCTTTCAATAAAGGAATCATCACAACAGTCAGGTTCTGCACAGATACTAAAAATGTACATTGTTTGGAACAGGCAGAGATGAAATCCTAGATATAAAGGCCTAAATTACATAAAGGCCTGACTACATTAAWGTGCTAGTAAACCATGTAATATCATCACTAAAGTTTTGAATTAAAACCATGCAATCTTCTGCATCTTTATTACACCATCATGAAACAGTTACTCCAGCATGTGAACACCAAACAATTCTACTAAGACATTCTCCTGTGAAATTTTGGTTTCACCACAAAACATCCAAGAAAACAGTAAGAATTTTCCTCTGGTTTCAGAGAAGATACTACAAAGAGGTATCTATTTCCATCTTGGGAAGTGGGCYACTGGATCTGGGAATAATTCTGAAACCTGAAGCCATAAAGCAACAGAGGGTCATGGCAAAGGGCAAATACTGAATTATTGCAATGCATCTTAAAATTATAATCTTTGTGCTTGTTCTTTTTCCACATTTCTTACCCTTCCAGACGACCTCTCCAAATGTATCATCTGGAGCTCTGGCCAAAATTCATGCTGCAGTCTGACCTCCCCCTTTTTCTTTAAGAGGCTTTACAAGTAATTTACTCAAATAGCATGTAGTTAAGGAGACATTTACTAAACAGTTTAAACTCATTTACAGATAAGCAAACTAGGCTCATCTTTGACAAGTTATTTGCTGTCAAGCTAAGTGATCCAGAAGGTATTGTCCAGAAACTATTACAGTCCTTTGCGACAATGCTCTTCAGCCAGTATGAACAGTTGGTATTCTTCCAGCTTTATGAACACATTTTGTCAAGCCCGAGAAGCCAGACTTTGTGACCCCACCATCTGCCATGACCTCTTGTCAGGTTCACACAAAAGAACCGACACAGATGGCCTCAAAATGGAGATTCTCTTCATCCCCAATTGCTGCATGTGCTTGTACCACACAGACAGAAAAACATAAAACTCAACCTTTCCGTTCTTTAGCTACTTTCTACTGAAATGAAGCTGCATAGACAGGTTCAGAGCCCAAATCATGAAAGAGACAAAGATTGCTTTACCTGAACTATGTTTGTCCCTTCATAAACTGAGTCTTAGTTTATAATCCACTCCCATAATTTTGCCTTTTGGTCATATGTACAGAACCAACCAAACTGACACCATAAACTCAAGAGTTGTAGCTTCTTCTAGAACCACATCTGTGCTAAAGTTTTGGTGATACTGAAGCTGAACCCCAGCTCAGCAAACAGTGCAAACCAGAAAATAGTTATCTGCAGAATAACATTACATTCCTTATGCTTATTTTCTATCTATTGTTCAAAGTCTTATTTTTAAATTACCCCTATAAGAAAACATAACAGCCTGTTCTCTGCTTTACCAAATTTACCCTGGTTTCCCTTCTAAAATTTTTATCAGTACTTCAAATCACATCTTCACATAGACCAGCACTGTGTAAAGATCCTCCTCGGCAYCAGTGCCCAGTTCCCAACAGAAAGTGCCATTTATGTAAGTATTACATCAGTACTAAATATCTACAAATGAAGACAACTATTGGACAATCACCTAAACTGTTATGATTCAAAGTCTTTATGAAACACATTAAAAAAAGATATATTTTAGTATACTAGAATGATTTTTATCMTCACTAAGGAGCGCTTTTTTCATTTACTTGATAAACAGTATTGCAAAATGAAAATTATTCCAGGTAACTGGGTCAGCTTAGAGGAAATCGTGATCAGTTTCAAGAAAAAGAAACTTGTATAACACCAGCCTTTCCACAAGAAAGYAAGTAATTCACACTCTTCATACCCCTCTCCATAGTATTAACTTTCAAGCTATGGTATTACAAGACTGATTTCAGAAGACAGCAGTAACAAAAAGACTCCTTATTAATCAGTACAGGCTCAGTTTTAAATCACTAATTTATGCACAGCATCTACAYGGCTTAGACCACCTGTTACACATATGCTGCTTCAGTGAATCTCAGTTTTCAGACCAGTAAAACTTCAAAATTATTATTTCTGAYTTATCAGAAATCCACCTGCTCCAAGGAAGTGTCTCTCCATCTTGCTTCTCAAAACCATTCCAGTATCTTACCCCTCCTTGAAGAGATTTAAAAAAACAGTTTTAGTGAAAATATCTGTATGTACTAGTCAGATTAATTTCTTGGTATACTACAAAATARAAATATAACTTTCTTATCAAATTTGTGAAATTTAAATTACAGATTTTGCATCCCTGGAGGCAGATTCCACTGATTTGTCAACTTTTCTCCTGAGTTTTCTTCAGATTWCTTAGTCGCAGTTTTATCCTTTATGTATGTAGACAAGAAATTAATGTATCCTACAAACTTCAGAAGACAGGAATACCATCTAATATCCAGCATGTCACTCAATGAAGCTCTTCAAAAAAGCCAACCAGGGTGTGAGTTCAACAAGTCACACACACAGGATTGGAAATAAGTCACCACCTTCAGCTATCCCATGGTAATATTTATTTTGAAAATAATGTTAGAAAATAGSTCTTAGGAAGCATTTGAAAGGAACTCCCACCATTATGTGTATGATGAAGGTCTGGCCGGTACAGCAATTTATTTTTCCAGCTTTTACTGTGAGCAGCTGTATGCCTTAAAAAAAAAGTCATAGCAGATAATAGACAAGTGATTAGAGAGACTAAGCAAARGGAATCTAAGCAACTGGTCCACTGAATGATATTCATTTTAGCAAAATAATTTGAGAAGAGTAGTCAGTTTAAAAGCTTTCTTGTTTAAGCACTTTTATTTAACTTAAAAGGCTGTAGCCTATGAATCAGAAGTATAGAAGCTCTCCCAACTATATGACACAAAGGAAATGAGGATGACTGCTTTAAACCAAGATGCAAATGAAAGATAAAACTACCTGAACCTAATTTGAAAGCGAAGATCTCATCTTGTAGTTATGATTGAGCWAAATGCCAATGTATCATCAGAAGAAATTAACTGACACTTCCTGACAACAGCAGTAATTATGACTCAAGTTTACATAGTATGAAGAATCTGGAAAAACAGATGAGGCCTTCTTGCAAGTTCAGTGAGTATAAACTGTAGCAMTTCAGCTCTGTAAGGAAGAACCACCAACCTGMATTTGCCTCAGGGCAAATGTCCCCTTAAGGTCTTCATGCAGCAAACACTGAGGCAACAAATGAATTGGATGCCATACAGCAGTCATGGACTTGAATCCAAATGCTACATCCCCATTACTGCCACCATTTGGCGTATTTACTCTCACTGTTCTATTTATTATATGACTACCAAGGTATATATTATATGACTATTACATGTTGTACATGAYAAGAAAAAGCACTATGGATGAAGGCTGCTGAACATGTTGAACCCCAGGGATGAAGACAGGTCTGGGCGGGTCTACAAGTGAGAACAACACACAACAGGGGAAGAAAATCCAAACCTGGATTCAAACTCTCTCCTAAGCTGAAAGTGCTCAAAGTCTCCATTCATTTAACTGGACTGCTGACCCTCAAGTTCTGCTGTTTATCCTGACAGTGCTGAGCCCCCAGYTCCAGCAACCTGGAACTAGATGCTCCTTCCCTCAAGAGACTCAGTTTCTTAAGCATGTTCTTAGACTTCTCAATGCCAGTACCAGCAGTAACCTACATGTCTAAGAAAAGGAGCCGCACTCATGGCTTATTTAAAAATCAATGAAACATGTCTCTTATTGTCCAAATGAGGAGAACTTTACATTAAACACACGGAATGACTGCCGAGCATTTGAACCTTTGAAGGCTCTTTTAATTCCCCAAACCAGCTTACTGTCATTACAGATAAAGGACACAGGACCTGACATAGGAACAGTGGGTAACATTTATGSAGCACTTAAAGCACTATCTTTCTGAGATTTATAAACAACTTGTATCACCACAGATAAATTTGGAATTAACCCAAATTTAGTTGCAGGGTTTTTGTGAGTACACAATTTATTCTATAAGCTTGTTTTTGGTTCTCTCACTAGGTTTCTAGCCCATAGCTGACTACTATAYAGGGCACAACATTTGGGAGTCTGTKGCTTCAGTGGAAAGAGGCAGGTACAACTTCCTTTCACAGCAAACAGTACACCACATTTCCACAAACACATTTTTGCCTTAAGAAATTTCATTTTCACAATGGRTTGACATTTGAAAAAAATTTAATTATCTATGTGATGACTAAAATGCTTTGGTAAGATGGTCTTTGTGCATTGCCAAGAATACACTGGCTCCTCTCTCAATTAAGCTCAGCAGAAAACAGCATCTTYTTTACTRCTGAGACTTCACACCAGCTTCTTGCTACCACCAGCTCATACACTTTATGATACATCAGAGAGTGCTCCAGATATTAATCTGGTTTTGTAATGAGTTTTAATTTTGAAATTTAAAAATGTCCAGAATTATCAGTGCACTGACAAATACATGGAACAGTTTAACTACATTTGCTGAGATATACTTTTGTCTACACATCACAGCTGGWAGGATCTTAACATCCAATGAACTAATTTTATATTTGCATTTAAATGAAGATCACCAAGTTATATTGAAACAAAGAACTTGATGATGAAGACTTAGAAGCTATTTCTTCCATTTTCCTTAYAGTTTGCTAGAAGCTTTGCACTAGTTTAAAGCCATTATTTAACTCTACTCTTACATGGATTGAAGTTTATGACAATATTCACTGAAGACTAAAGATTACAAAAATATTCATACTTCTTTAATTATAATTCAGTACAAAGGCAAAAAGGGATTTTTCTGGTGATGCACAAGCTCACAAATACTGATTCCAGCACACAAAATTACCTGAAGGCCACAACTGCATTAAATATATTGTACTGCTCTGAGATCCCACCCCTGCTACGATTGCTAAAAGGGATCTTCCACTTTTACCACTTCTTTCCATTCCTTGCCCATGCTACATGCTCTCCACA